AGACTAAGACCACCAGCCAGCACGCTTCAAACCACTGTTTCACACCTGCAATGCAAAAGTAGAAACTCGGCTTCAAAAAGCAGGCACATACGCATACCTATGTAACACGTGTATGTGTGCATATATATTTTAAGACTTGTTTTTATTACTTTTAATTAGGTTTATGTGTATGTCTCTGTGTAGGTACACAGGAGTGCAGTTGCCCTAGAGCTAAACTTACAGGTGTGAGCCTCCTGACATGGGCCCTGGGAGCCAAACTTGGGTCCTCCACAAGTGCGACATGTGCCCTTAACTGCTGCGTCATCGCTCCAGCCTGTTTTCAGTGGTTCAGAGGTCTAGGAAAACAGTGTTGGACTGATAATGGAGTCTGTGGCTTGTCTTTGCTTTAAGCTCTTACAGTCATGAATCAGGAGGAGCAAGAGTCTGTTTTACCACCTTCATCTGGATGAGACTGAATCTGGACTAGCTGATCGCAGAGCCCTCATTGGTGTCTTTTGTTGTTGCTGTTGTTGTTTGTTCCTTGGAGGGGGACAGGATCTCCCTTTGTAGCTCAGGAAAGCCTTGGACAGACAATAGGTGTGTACCACAGGACTCATGGCTTATTTGCTCTTTTTCAAAAACCGCACAGGAGTCTGGGGATGTATGCAGTCAGTCGGTAGAGTGCTTGTCTAGCATGCACGAAGCTAGGCTCAATCCCCAGAACCACATAAATTCGATGTGATGGCACAAATGCCTGTAAACGCCGAACTTGAGAGGTGGAAGCAGGAGGATCTCTGATCCTCATTCTCGGTTACAGTGAGTTCCAGGTCAGCCTGAGAAATTAAATCCTGTCCCAAGCAAACAATAAGAATAAAGAATAAAAATCCATACAGGTCATAGATGGTACAATGGAAGTCAATGGAGTAGCTCTCCACCCCAACAGAGAGAAGGATTACCTTGGACATTATTTAATTAAGGTCATAATAGACTTTGGAAACCAGAAGAGGAGCTTCAGCTCTGAGTGGTAGTTTCAGGGTCCTCAGAGGCCTTGCAATGCTCTTTGTTCAGTTAAAGAGGTCTCCAGGGTCTGTCAACTTTATAACAGAAGTTCAAGTCAGCAAAGACCTGAGCCCAGTGTCTGACTTGCATACTGACTGAAGGAGGAAGCTTGGTAAATGCATATGCAAAATAATTCACAGTGATGGGGATTGAACTCAGGGCCTTGTGTTTGCCACTGAGCTGCATCTCCAGTCCCTAATTTGCTAACTTCTGCACTATTTAAGAGCTCAAGGTTTTAATCACATCTATGCACATATTCTTATTTAAAATGTATTACCATCCTGGGAAGTAAGAAACCAGCTGGAGACATTAAGCTTAAAAAATGGTAAGAGTCTTGCACAGAATTACATATCTTTAGTGACCCCAAGATTATCCACTGTATCTTCTGAGTCCAGGTTTATCTAACAAGTATTCCAAGTCCATCTGGCTTTGTAAACATCCCCCAGGCCAAGATATCCATGCCCACGTATTCCCAGACAGATTCCTGGTAGATTTTTGCACAACTCAGCCAATGCTTCAGACTTAACTTTATTTTTAATTTCTGTGTGTGTATGTGTGTCTTGTGTGGGTATACATGCTTGAGCACAGTGCCTGCAGAGGCCAAAGGAGGGTATCAGATCACCTCGAGATGGAGTTAGAGGCAACCCTGACCCTGCTGTGAGTTCTGAGAGCCAAACACCCAGCCTCTGGGAGAGAAGTATGAACTGTTAATGCTGAGCCATCTCTCCAGTCCCATCAGTCAACACTTCCCATGCAGGATAGGGCTTTGGGTTGTTAAGGAAGGAAAATGGACAAAGTGGTTTTTCAGCCACTGGCTCAGAGCTGGTTCTAGGGTACCACCCCACACCGTGCTTGTAAAGTGTGTTCCAGGGGAAAACACCTTAAAATCTAGGTAGGAGAGCACTACTTGTTTGCTGGGTTTGTTTGTTTGTTTGTTTGTTTGTTTGTTTTAATCCGCATGTGTCTTGTGCCTGCAGTTCTAGAATATAATATGGAAAAAATTTACTGGTAGGAATGCAGTCATGCTTGACCATCCCAGCAATGTCAAGCATCTATAGACAGTTCTTCCTGGTCACTCTCAATTTCCTGCCGTGATCTTGTTGTAGGTCAGTGACAGGTCATAGACCAGTTTGAGGGCAGCCAACCACATACTGAGAAACACTCTTCCAAGGGAAACAAGTCCTAAAATTCCCTGCAGAGAGTGCTTCCTGATAGCGTGAGCTGGGGCACATTCCCACATTACAGGCTTGGAGTGGTGGTAGTGTCTGAATCGAATCACTGCACTTGATCAACTAGCGTTTCCAAACTGACTTGACCTCAAAACTCTGTTCACAGAACATCTTTGAACACCCGGAAGACTCGTGTTTTTCAAAACACATTTGGCTCTGCTTTGCACATTGCAGGCAAAACAAGGCTCCAGACATGGTGCCTCTGGCCTTTCCCCACCTTGAGCTCCCAATCCTCCGGCCTCCATTCCCTGAGTGCTGTAATCACAGATGTGCTACCTGCACACGGCTCTTTTCCTCTTTCTTCCTTTCTCCCCAATGGGCACAATCCATGACTGCATCTGCCTCCTGCACAGTACTCACATGAGTGACCACACCCTAGCAGATCAAAGCTACCTGTATGGCTGAGGCATCTCCCACTACAATTTGCCACAGAATCCTGAAAGCATGTTGGCTTGCCTCCTTCCTGGAGGGGACTCATACTGGGGCCTTCGTGTATCTGTAGTAACCCCTCAACCCAGTTCTGCCCCCTCCCACTGCCTGTGTATAGCTTGTGTATGCCTTCATGTGTGAGTACTTCCCTGCACTGCAGTGCCCCGGCTCCTTCTTCCTGGTTCCCGGGTCCCTCCCCGAACCCCCACATACATATGTGGAGACTCAGACCTCCAGCTGCAGTTTCCTTATCTTGGCCTGGGTTGTCTTATGCTGCAATATCTCCCACAGACATCCCAAAGCATTTCTCTCATTCCTGTGGTCTCTCAAGGACTCTAACAGTTATAATTCTATGTAAGCTTCCAGAAGTAAGACTTTGTTTCTGTAGGCTGTTCCTCTTCTCCTCTGGTAACCTCCTAATCCCAAATGAGCTTGGCTGTTCTTTGTTCTATTGAGTCTACGGTCTTCGTATTTGGCTAGTCTGACTTCTGCAGTGTTCTCTCCAGATGTAACCACATGCACTTACAGGTACCATCTCTAATAGCCCCCCACAGGCTCTGAGCTCCCCTTCCAACCTGCATTGTTCAGGACACTATAGACAAATAAACAAAAAAAAAAAAAAAGAAAGAAAGAAAGAAAGAAATAGAAAGGAAGAGGCTAGCTAGGTCCCTGATCCAGCAGACTTTCACCTCGCTGTTTCTGATCCTACAGTATCTATAGCACTTGAAACCTTGAGGCAAAATATACTGACCTATATTTCCCTGATATGAGTAGCATATAATTTATGATAGACATGCTCCACCACAAAGGGTTTGGGGTTGAATGGACTTGAGAAACAGTTAGGTATGCTAACATACATTGTGAATCTTGAGGAAGCAGCCATTTAGGTAGGGTTTTTCTAGGTGCCCTTGACCTGTAAACCCTCCTTTCAAAGAACTTCTGTGGAAGAGGTTCTTGCTGCTCTGATGCCACTTGGAAAACACTTGCTGTGGGTAGCTACAGGCCACAGAATTCTGCCAAGTACCCAGGACCTCTTAAAGTCCTTCAAATGTGCTTCCTGATTAACTGGAAAATGGACATCTCTTTGTGGGGATTTTCCTTAGCTCTGCCTTTTGAATGATAGATAAGTTGAGACTTTGCCCAATACTGTTATTTACTTTTCCCTAAGTATACGTTGTATAATTTATCATCTAGAGCCCTAATGACTTCCAAGGCTGTATTTCTAGCTCAGACCTCTCCCCTGAGCTCCAGGCTCCATACATCCTGCTGTCTTCTGGACAAGTACCTATCGGAGATCTTTAGCAGAGTGGCCAGCCAGCACTTCCAATGCACTTTGTCCTATATACAAGTAATTACACCCTTATAAAACTCCTTTTTCTGTGTGCCACCATCTAACCAGAAACCTGGAAGTATCCTAAACATTTTCTACCTAGCCCACCCCCCCCACACACACACACTCACCCAAGGCCAGGTTCTCAGTATGTCCCCTGGATGCCACCAGTGGAGAAGTGTGTCCCACTCCTCAGTGGCCACTGTCTAACTTTGGGTCTTCCCTACAGAGTCTGTCATCTGGCTCCTGTCACTGCACAAGGTTTCTGGGGGACAGACTTAGTGTTTCAGAGATTTGCATGCTGGGAGGAGATGGAGAGTGCTTTACCTCCTGTCGGGGGAGTGTGATGTTAGCAGAGTGTGGTGGAGTTACACCACACACACACACACACACACACACACACACACACACACACACACACGCAAGTAAATAAAATTTTAAAATTAAAAAAAAAAAAACCTAAAGACCACATTAGTAGCTAAAGAAACCAACTCAGTGGTTGAGAGCATTTGCTGGTCTTCCAGAGGAAAACCAAGTTTGGTTCCCAGAACCGATGTCAAGTGGTTCACAACCGCCTGTACCTCCAGCTCTAGGGGATCGAACGCCCTCTTCTGACCTCCATTAGCACCTGCATTCATGTGTACATACCCACACACAGACACACACATAATTTGTAAAGAATTAAATATCCGTTTAGAAGAAAAACTCAAGCCTGTTGGTTCGTTTAGCCAGAGGCCTGATGGAGCTACCTGACCTACCTAAGACACAGTGCCGAAACGGAGGGATGCCAGGACCCACCCACAGTGCACAAAATTCCACCTGTCCTTCAGCTCTCTGTACCTTATTACACTTCGTCCCAGCCATCCTCGGTGCTTTAGTCAGGGGTCAGCGGACGAAAAGTGGGCCCTGAGGAATGGCTGGCCAAAATCCCCCACAGGGAATTTGTTCTAAACATCTTCTGTATTTCTTTGCAGCGTGCAAAAGGAAAGAGCAAGAACACGGGAAGGATAGAGGCAACACCCCCAAAAAGCCCAGGCTGGTCTTCACAGACGTCCAACGTCGAACTCTACATGCAATATTCAAGGAAAATAAGCGTCCGTCCAAAGAATTACAAATCACCATTTCCCAGCAGCTGGGGTTGGAGCTGAGCACTGTCAGCAACTTCTTCATGAACGCGAGAAGGAGGAGTCTGGACAAATGGCAAGACGAGGGCAGCTCCAATTCAGGCAACTCCTCCTCTTCATCAAGCACTTGTACCAAAGCATGAAGGAAGAACCACGGACTAGAACCTCGGTGGAAAAGCTTTAAATTTAATTTAAAAAAAGAAAAAAAAGTTTTTAAAGACCAGGACCTCGAGATAGCAGGTTTATACTTAGAAATATTTGAAGAAATAAAAGTGGTATTTATAGTCCAAAGAAACCAAAGACTGGAGCTCACCTGCATTCTGACTTTGTTCCGAGACACTTCAGCGGGGCAAAACTTGGCAAGAGAAAGGATCGGGAAAACATCGGATCTCACGCCTTCAACCCTTGCGCCGCACTGTGCTTGGCTGCTCCGTGGCTCGAAGCACAGTAATGTCTGAGCCATTGAGCGGTCATCTTTTAAGATCAGACATTCTCATCTCTTCCACTACACCACAAAGGTGTATCGTGTCTCAATATCATGTGTGGGCGGGTGTGCGGGTGCACACCCACCCACCACCACCAGTGGTTAGGGACTCAGGCAGGGCTGGTCTTCAGGAAGGGTTGCACCATAGGAGTGTGACCCACACAGTGTGGGATTTCCAAATTCATTGGATTTAAGGTGTGATTTCTCTCTTCTAGCCTAGCGTTTGAACCTGCCAGGCCCACAACCTAAATGCAGATTCAAACCCAGCAAAGATCATTTGAATGGCGCCTAAACCAGTGCACTCTCTTTGTTTGTTAAGAAATGTTCAGATATTTTTTAAAGAAAAGTGAAACAAGAGTCCATCCATTAAAAAAAAAATCACCCAGGTACCAAAGAACACACAATATTATAGTACAGGTATTTTATTGCAATGATTTTAATAACCAAAGCTATTTTTACACAAGATACTATGTAAAGTTATACGTATGAACTGATCTAGCTGTAATCCACATGCCACGTAGATTCAGGACTATTATCTATGACTCTTGAGGCATTTGAAATATGAGTTTTCAGAACTGGCAAGAAAGAATGTGGCTTCGGGGAAGCAGTTACCACCATGGCAGAGAGGTCGACGTGGTGCACATGGGATCCATAAATGTCACTTCCATAGAGAAAAGACATAATGCATCATCTACACGTAGCCAAGATGTGAGGACTCTTCAGAGTAGGTCCCCATATAAACACTAGGAAACTAAAGCTTACCAGGGCAGATAACTGAATTAGAAAAATTGTCCGAAGTGATCATTTTTAGTAAATGCCCCACCCCACCCCACCCCACCCCACCCCCAAAAAAAACTTAGACTAATTTTGCTTAAATTTACTTTATGCATTTGGCACCAAATATTTTTTTTAAATCCTTCCCAAACACGAATGAAGCAAGCAGACCAATATTAATGACAATTAGTTATCTCATGTGTTGTAACCATCCCAGAAAACAATTAAACTGACTTTTTTCCGATTTCAGATGTCCTATCAGGCAGATGTTAGGAAAACAATAGGGCCACTGAGAAATGGTAGCACAGGAGAGCTGCAAACAAAAAGCCAGCGCTCTGGTCTCACACAAGCCTTTCGGTTCCTTCAGAGTCAAGAGGCGCATTTTACTAGGCATAACCTCCAAAGCGTTAACATTCCTTCCTGCTCTAAATGAACCTGGAAGATTTTATCTCACGGCTTCTACTCTCTGGCAGGGACAGATTAAAAATTAAGCCCAAGCTTCCTAATCAAAGTTTTCAATTTTGACTTTTTCTGAACCATTTCACTGGGGCCGCACAGACCAAGGCAGGAAGCCAAAACAAAGTTTTTTTTTAAAAAAAAAAAAAAAAATCATTTGGCATCCAGAAACACTCTGTCTGAACTTGGTAGAACTACAACTGATCTGAACAGATACCTACCTGCTGCACAGGAAAGTCAAGAATGGGGTACCCTCAGTTAATGTCACTCCTGACTAGAAATACAGCACCAAAAGCTATCCTAATAGTAGATGTTCAATACGATTCACTAAAATGCCAAATGAAAAAAAAATAAAATTTTATAACACAATATCTCACTCCTGGGGGTCAAATGTCAGGTACCTAGAGAGAGGCGCCTAACCCAACCAGGGAACCATCCGTCTGGCGATTGAGGGAAGGAAACCAGCATGCACCCCGACATATTTTGTCGCAGTATTTTTAAAAGTTCACCCAAAATTCCAACTTAAAAGTTTTTCTTCTAAAGATGGCACAATTCTAGTTCAATCATGAAGAATCAGTAAATTGCCACCCTTCGAGATTTGCTCAAGTTTTCTGCAGCATGAACAAAAATTAAAAATAGAAACATTATTTTCCCTCTTGAAAGTGGAGGGAGCTGGGGAGTGTAGGTGCATTTATAATTTAAGGGGGGGATAGCCTTATTTACTTAAAACAAGGGAATTAAAAATTCAGGGGAAACCTAATTGTGTCTATACACAGTCTTACCAACTTTCAGTACTCCAAGAACCAGGAAAAAAAAAAAAATTCAGTGTCTTTCCTTTTTTTTACCACGTTACTTCCACGATTAACCCAACTGCATTTGGCATTTTTTCAAACCAATCATTTTGGTACTGTGGAGGCACAGTCTTCAAAATAAAACATGACTACATTTTTAGAATCCCACCATGATGGTTATCTGAGAAATAACCGTGACCCTACTTGCTGACACCAAAGATGATTTCATACCAGCATTAAATTTGCACCAATGACACATTTTCAGGGCCTAGAAATGTATTTTCTCATAAACAGAGGCACAAGTCAGAGCCTGAAAAGCAATTTTCTTACTTGACTGAGCATACTCCAAACTTTCACTTCTTAGAAACCGTAGCAGACACACTCAGCTTCCATACGCAATACCTTCTCACACCCTGTAGGAACAACTCTTTCTTTGCTTTGGAACCAGCACTCAGAGATCATGCTTCCATTCCTGTTTTATGTAGCACTAATTGATGGCTCCCCTCATGTTCTACAGAGCAGATCATGTCCTTTCACACCATTCACCCCAAAACATTATCTCTCATCGCTATGCATATTACAAACAAAACCAGACTTCAAAGACTTCCTTGTTTTCTTTTCCTTTCTCTTTCTGTCTTCCCTCCTTCCTTCTTTCTTTGTTCCTTTCCTTTCCTTTCTTTTCTTTTTTGTGTAAGTTTTTGGCCATAAGTCATTCAGGTCCCAAATAACAGGAAGCTTTTGCTGAAAGTCAACAGGGATGTTTGGAGTCTGGAGACTGTAAAACTCAGATCTCAGAAACTGTCCAGATGGAGGAATTCTGGATACTGGGGACTGAGTACTCCTGTCCTTGAGCGCCTTGGGAATTGATTCCAAAGACCAAAGAAAGGGAATAGGGAGATCTATAAGTTTTGACAGAACTTGCCACCCATCATGCCCCTCAGCCCCCGAAAAACATACTTATTTTCCCAGAACTACATAAAAGCGCTTGCTACATTTAGATCCATCCCACTCCCTTTGCTACCCCAGGTGAAGAACCCGTCTTTGCAGGTTAAATGCAACTTTGCTATACCAAAGAGTCTAAGGACATTTTCCTTACGGTCCGCCTCCCTGCTTTGTACATACAGGATGAAACTATGCATTTAGCAAACAAAGAGAAAGCACTTCTCCCTTTTCTATCTCGTTGTTTAGGGTGCATTCAAATACCAGAGGCTGTTTGGGGGATGCACTTGGCCTTCTGGATTATAACTGTGGTGTGGGTTTGCTCTACAGTGCATTTGGTAACTACTTCCCAAATAGTGTGGACAAAGAAGCAGAAGGTCAGAAATAGTTACTTCCATGTGTTTAAAAAAAAAAAAAAAATAGAAAAAAAAGGAAAAAAAGAGAAAAGAAAAAGAAAAAAAAGTGTAAAGATCTACTATTTATAGTGTGAACCAAAGACGCTACCTCACTCAATTTCCATTGGTGATTTTAATCACATTGATATACCAAAGAATACCAAAGATATTTTCATGCACGGCCATGGTCTGCAGAGGGAACTCCGCCCCTTCCCTTCCCCGCCTCCTCCCTCTTCACTCAGTGTGTGACGTTGTCTTCATTCTTAATAACAATACAACACCGACGACAACAACAACATTAGGAACGCCTACTCTTACGACTGCTACTTCTTGTAAATCTCTAGGCAAACACGTTGCAAAGTTTGTAAACTCCTAGGACGAGTGCCTTGCTTGAACCAAAGTGTTAAACCGCTGTTAACCTCTCTCACCTTATACTCTTTGAATACCTCAGCCTCTTAGAAAGGCCACTAATGAAGAAAAAAAAAAAAAAAAAAGGAATAATTATTCACCGTGGTGCTTTTTCTGCGCAACCATGCAATGAAACTTTCTTTGATACCAAAGGATGACTTCCCCCACCCCCAATTCTTGCTGATAAACCAAAGCTCCTCCTCTTGCTCCTTCCTCCCTGAGGCCCTCCCCAACTCCTTGACGGAGTCCCATCCCCAGGCAGGCCGTGCGTCACCTTTACCAATTCCTCCAAATACCTCATAGTAATAAAGCTTTAGGGTTATGTTGTATAGAGACTCTATGTGATAAGGCAGAACTTACTAGTTTGTTAATTGTTAAGGTTACTTTAAAGAAAAAAAAAAAAACCTTTATAATTCTTATTTATTTTGTAGCTGTGTGTTTGGGTGTTCCCTCCCTCCCCACCCCACCCCACCCCCCACTTTGGTTTGGGGTTTATTTTCTTGGCTGAACTGCTCAGTTGCTCAAGGAAGAGTTAATTTTTGGGAATGATTCCCCCAGTGGGTTAAAAGTTAAGGGTTGTGTAAAAAATGCAAGAATGGAATAAGAAATGATTTTCGTTTCGATCATTACTTAAGAAAGTTTGTGTTTTGTAGAAAATTTGTTTCCACAGGGTAAAAAAAAAATTATATATATATATATAATCTTTTTTGTGAAACTGGTTCCTATTTTTCTCTATAATGTGCTGTGATTTGTTTTAATTTAATTACATTTTATATGAACTTATTTAATCACTTCGTTAATTTATGACTGTGTACTTTTTACAGTGTATATAGTACAATGAAATGGCCAAAACCTTACGTTACAATCTCTTTTGTCCTTGACGCTAAGCTGAAGAAAGAGCCTCTCTTGCCGCCTTCAGAGTGTTACCTTTAGTTTATTCTTGGTGAGCACAGCCGCGTGTGCTCTGAACACTGCCAGCTCCCTCTCAAAAACTTCTCCATGCCAAATGAGTGTACCAAGGTAGAAAGATGGAAGGCATTACCTGTGGTTTTCCTTTAATTTATTATTATTTTTTTAGGAAAAAAAAAATTACTTTGCAGGTAAGACCTGAAATTTCAAAGAGCTTAAGACCTTTCTTTCCCAATGCCTCGCGGCACCTGTGTTTGTGGGACACTGTGTTTCACCCCTGCTTTGGTTTGTCTGTTTTTAACTATCCAAGCATGGGTATAAGAAGTCAAAGTATAAAAACCTGAAGAGACAAGCTAACTTGAATCTGGAAACCCTCTCAAGGCCCTTGTTTCTACACTTCTGGGTGGAAGGCAGCCTCACCGCCAAGCTGCTTTGAGAGAAAGAAGGGCCTGGGGCCGCCAACCCCCGGCAGCCCGTGCAAGAAGCAAAACAAATTCACTTGGCTTACTGCTCACCCTAATTTAGGAAATGCAGTTAAGAGCACCACACCCCTGATCCCCACAGCTGCCCCACCCTCGCCTTCTCATGTGTGCCCTACCCAAACCGGAAGGACTCCAAGGGTCCTTGGGGGAGAGTATACCGCGGAGCAATTTGAATTTGTGCTTTCTCGCTCTCCATCTCACAGACATGAGCCTTGGCCAGGCCCCTTAGCCAAGGCAGGTCTGGTCCTTGATCAGCACACACAGAACCCTCGAGGACCAGGGCCAACCTCCACAGTCAGCTTTACTGGCGTCGGTTGCATAGACTCATTGGGGTACCCAACATCCCCCTCAACACAGGCATTTAGCCTTCTTTTCTTTTGCAGGCGTGTTTGGGGTGGGGAAGGAGAGGGGAGGGTGCAGGTTTCAGTCAAGAGGAACATTTTTATACTGATTATGTATATGAATAGGGTAACAAGTCTGCTCTGAGTCCCAGGAGGCAGTGCGGAGTCAGGATGCTGAGGAAAGGCTTTGAGAGGTCAGCAGTGAAGCTCAAAGCAGAATTATCTTTACCAGGTCACACTTCTATTTCTATGTTAGTGTTGTTTTTTTTTTTTTATATATATATAGTATGTTCTGCATTTATTACATAATCATTGT